CCAGTTAACAATTTTTAATCTTTGTTCTCGACATCTTAAATGATCTCATCTTAACTTTTAGCGTTAAGTTTTGTTTTGTCACCAAATTTCTCATCAAATCTCTCATAAAAATGCCACACGGACCAACTGAAATAATAAATTAGTGATTTTTTTAATAATTTTTGATTTTAAAGACAAGATTTATTGAATTTTCGATGCCTGAAAAGGATTATAACATGTTGACGTAATCACACGGGGGTTCCCTGACATAACTACGTAATTGCACACGTAGTAAGATTTATTTTTATCTTGTTTTTTTTTTTCAGAGACCGCGATAACAAAATTTTTTAAAATAATTAATTAATATTTGTTCTACTTTATTATGACGTTTTAAATATAAAGAAAAAACATTTGAAAAAACGTAAACATCTGATCTAGCATATGCCCCACGTTTTTGTTCAAATTTGACATTTTCTGATTGGCGATAAAGCGGAAGATATTGTTTTGAAATGAGCACGGTTCGTGTTGAAACGTCAGATCTACACTATTTCACCCACAAATAAACTGCAAAATTGACAAATTTTTCATTTCAATCAACTTTTGTTCTAAAGTTTCTTACTTACTAATTACTAACTAACACTAACATTTACTAATTTTTTCCCTGAAGTAAAGATTGAAAATGACAGAAGCTAAGACAATCATTTCATCTCCCCAGAACATTATCAAAATAAGCAACGCCCTAGACAAAATATCTCCAGTTACTCTGATCCAACAGGGAAAGCTATTCAAAGTTAGAGCTCATATGTTTGACAAAAAATCTTTTAGTTCATTTTTTGTTTATATCTTTTTGTATTTTATCATTATTTAATTGCTGTTTGTAGTTTTTCTTGTTGTTTATTTTCCATTAGCTGTCAAACTTTGGTTCCGAGAGTAACTACATCGGGTCAACAACGAATGAAGATAAGGATAAACCACAACGACAGTCGATCAGGAGAATTTTTTTAAGGTGCTTTTTAAATTTTTACTAGTAAAAACATTATAAATTTTATGTCTTATTTGAGGTGGTATAAATGTAAAGGACTGTCAAAGTGAATGGTTTTAAATAAGAGACATGCATATAGAATAGTTATGTGTGCAGATTATATACACAAAAATACACATTAAATTATATATTTATCTCTAATTTTCCTAATCAACTAAAAGTAGTTTTGAAAAAATTTTCGATAAATTGTTTATTCATCCTTTATCTTTCTCACCTTCTTTAGTAAAGTAAAAAAGGAAGTTGAAGACATCCCCAAAGTCCTAATCAACAGCAACAGCAGCAATCACCATCATCACCACATCAATAATAATAATAATAATTTTAATAGCAACAATAATAATAATAATATCCTCACCCTACCTGAGAATAACATGAATGGAGATGTTCACGATATGTTAAGTTAGTAACAAATCTATTTGCTCAATTAATTAATTAATTAATTACTTAATTGATTTACTAATTAATTATTTTTTAATTATGAGTAGTAATCATAAGGAACAATAATTTATTTTTCTGAAAAATCTCTTTGAATTCAGATTCCACATCAGAAAATAGCTACAGTGGTAGCAGCAACAACAACAACAACAATAATAATGGTAACATCGATTCACCAACATCAGCTCAAACCATTATTCAGTATAGCAATGATGGTCAATTTTATATCCCTGGTCTGTATACTTTGTATGCTTTGTATTGTTTTGAATAAGTTTCGTATACATTTTGTGTACATTTTTTATACGCTTTTTTGTTTGTCTACTGACATACGACCACAATTCACTCACCACACGTCATGTGAACAGTTCATCAGTTGAATTCGAATCTTGTCTCTCTGCCTCAAGGCCTCATGATGACGCCAACGTGTGCAGTTGAGCTATCAGGTGGACAGGACGCCATTGAGGAAGCTTCTAGAAAAAGAGAATTACGATTACTTAAAAATAAGTTAGTGACTGGCTGATCTACTGAACCAACTTCTTTCAATTTGAATTTTCTCAGTTTTTGATTATATCTTGTAAGCATAACTTCATTATTAGTAATAATATTCATCATCACGGGCCACCATCCTTATGATCATCACCATCATCATTATAACGAACCAGAGAGGCAGCCAAAGAGTGTCGACGGAAGAAGAAAGAGTACGTACGATGCCTGGAGAACAGGGTCGCTGTACTCGAGAACCAGAACAAAACACTAATCGAGGAATTGAAATCGCTGAAAGAATTATACTGCCAAAAAGATATGCATAGCTGATTTGTTGAGTGGAGGTGTTTGTTTGATTGTGGGTCGGATTATTTGATTGATTGGTTGGTTTAATTTTGTCTTGATTGATTGGTTGGTAAGTTGGTTGACTAAGAAATTCTTGACCGATTGGATTGTTCAGCAGTTAACATTGATTAAATATGTGATTAACTGAGGGCGAGTCAATTGGTTGGCTTAGTGATTGATAGTAATCAATTGATTGACGACGGATTGATTGCTCACTTGATTGATTGGTTAACTATCGTTAGTTTATATTTTTCTTTGTATGTTCGTGCATACAAACGTGTCCTGGTTGTTTTTCTTCTTATTATTATCATTTCAAATGACTCTACTCATTAACATTTAAAACCAAGCGTTTTCTCTCTCTCTCTCTCTCTTTATATATATATATATATATATATACCTATGTGTATTGTACAATGTATACGTATATTATTTTCTATTGTTACACTTTTTTGTCATTGATTTAAATTTGTCAATTTGTACATAATATATACATATATATATATATATATGTATATATATATATATATATAGTGTGTATGTATGTATGTCTGTGTGTAAATTTTCATACTTTTTATTTCTTTCTTAAATTTCGTTTTATTAATATTTCTTAGTTTATATAAAATAATACATACATACATACATACATTCGTACATACATACATACATACATAGAGTCACTCATACACACACACACACCCACACTCACACACACACATTGCTTAACCCTTTTTAAGATAATGTCGAATAGTTAACGAAATAATATTAAAGATGTTTGTGTGTATCGTGAGTTTGGGTATGTATGCATGATGCCTATGTGACCAGAGGAACGTATTTTTGTACATACATGTTAGATCTATTGATGCCTGCATATGTATGAATAAAAATGTATATGCATGCTAATACAACATTGAATTCGATATGAAATGTATGTATAATATATGCACACACACACACACATATATGTATATATATATATAAATTGTGTGTGTGTGTGTACGTGCACATGCACGGTATGTACGTGTTTTTTTTTCTGAAGAGTTGCCTTAGTTTATTTTATTGTCATTCAATGAATTCTTTAGCTACGGAAGTATAGTGTAATCTCTACCGGATTAGCTAATATAATTTGGTTGGAAAATGCAAATAAAGTAATCACTGTTTTTCTTTTTCTTTCTCATTTCGACACAGACATATTCAAACAGATACACGCACACACACACACACACAAACAGACACGTAGATATAAGTTAATTATTTAACCAATAATATATATATATATATATATCCTCTTTACCGTCATCAGTTTAATATGCCACTGGACATAGATATAACCCATGAGATAGTTTCATGCAAGTATGCCAGATTATAAAACCTGGAAAAATATTAATTAATTAATTATTTTATTATTTTCTAATAAATATATTAATAATCCTTATATTTGTGATAATTATTGCTATGATTATGATTGATTAATTTGTGAGGATAAGATTCGACAGGCCGCATTACATTACAGTAGTTAAGTTCGTTTCTTGATTTTGTAATTCTACATAAGTAATGCTGGTAAAAGTAATGGAAGTTATTATATGAATACTAATATTAAAGTTTCATAATTTTTTTTATAGATAATAATAATATTATTACTTGGATATGTTGAGGAAAGTTAGAATGAGTTGTTTGAAGTTTTTTGTCGGCTGCATGGTGCTGAATGTACCAGCACAACTACAATGCTCTGCTAAGTTCGTTGCACTTACCTGATGGGTTAGTTGATTGATTGATTGGTTGGTTGACTAATTGATTGGCTAATTGATTGGTTGATTAACAAATTGATTAATTAGTTAAATGAGTAATTTATAAATAAATTAATTAGCTGAATGGTAGTTATTTGGTTTTATATCAATAATTACATTTCAAATCCAGACATCCGGCCAGCCAACCAATCACGACCAGCCAGCCAATCAGCTAAACAATCGACCAATCAGCTAGACAATCAACCAACCAGTTTACAACGATCGCAAGTAAGATCCTGTAGCGTGTAAGAGACCAATGTCTGTCTAACTGCCTGAACCAACTGCATTTCAATTTCTTCTAGATCGTATTCGCACTTGCATTGGTTGCAGTACCATATACCTCTGGTTAATTAATATAACCATAATTATATTATGATATAATTATAATTTATATATATTATTACTATAATATCAGTATAATATTAGTATAATATTTCTATAATATCAGTAATATTATATTATAACCCACATGTTGTCGACGTATGGATCCCTGCATAGATTGATGTCTCGAATGTTGTTGCACTGCTTACATATCATCTACACGTTCAAGTATTATTTGCAATAATTATTATAATTATAGTAATGGAAATTATCATTATTATATATAATATTTATCATTATTTTTGAAATTTTCTCATTTTGTCATCACCAAACCTCAGGCAATACGTAAGACAGGCAAGGATCCCTCCATTCTGATTGGTCGCTGAACTCACCAATCCCGATCAACTTAAGTAGGTCACGTTTTAATCTGGTCACCTCTTCTTTTATATTTTCATCTAAAAATAAAATCTGGGGAAAAGGTGAAAAAAAAGTTTGAGAAAAACTTTTAAAAGTTCATATAGAAGAAAAAAAATGACCCTGAAAAGTTAATTTTGGAGAAAGAATTTACACAAGTACGCACACACACACCACACACACACACACACACACACACACACCTACCTGACAAACACTTTTGACAAATTCAAGAGCCGGATTGGTGAAATGCAGGTGGGAACCGGGCAAGGTAGGGAATATGAACGAACGCTGATTGGCTGAGTGTTTTTTCTTTATTTTCTGGGTTATACTGTTTGTATGTTATTTGTCAATCAATCAATTAATCAGTCAGCCAGCGGGTAGTAAAATAAATAAATATCGATATAAAACTTATAAGACCATAATATGCAGTACATATAGTACGCATATAGTACATATGAATATGAAAAGCATACGTCAATTTAATATATATAAATACACACACACACGCACACGGTTGTGTGTATACATTTATTCGCTAGAATCGGTTTTAGTCGGTTTAGAACCGGTTTCAACTACTTTTGTCATATGAAAAAGAACCATGAAAAAAAACCAACCAACCCAAACAGCTTTTGACCAAATTCTTCTCTTATTAGCTTCTTGTAGGAGCATTTTGTATTATCTTCATCCTTATAAAATGAAAATAGAAGATTATTGTATATTTATTTCATCATCATCGTCGTCGTCGTCATTATAGTTATCGTTATCATCATCAAGCCATCATCATCATAATCATTTATTATTACTATCATAGTCATCATCATTAATTTTAATCATCATCATCATCTCCATCATCATCATCATTATTTCCAACATCTTCATCATCTTCACCACTATCATCATCATCATCTTCACCATCATCATCACCATCGTCACCACCTCAGTTGATTTAAGCTTGGGCGTGTTTGTTACAGCCTGGTTGTCTTGCGTGTGTTGATAAACTGTTGAAATAAACTGACCAACCATCATCTATAATTTTGGGCGATGAAAAATGAAGGAACACACTTCAATCAATCAATCGATCAATCAATCAAATATCAATCTATCAATCAATCATTCAATCAACCAATCATTCATATATCTATCAATCATTCAATCATCTATCAGACATCACCAACTTAACTTACGTTAATATCAGATTGACACAAGCCAGTTGGGAGAAATTTCACAAGGTTCCAATTCAGTTCTATTTCTGGCTGTCAATCAATCAACCAACCAATCAATCAATTATCAATTAATCAATCAATCAATTAATCAATCAACCAACCAACCAATCATCATCGCCATCAAAAAATTACACTAACCGAATCCTCCTCATCATCATCATCGTTATTATTATTGTTATTATTATCCGCCATTGAAATTCCGTCATCATTATCATCGTCATCTTCTTCACAATCAGCATTAACCATAGTATCATCATTAATATTATCATCAATACTATTTCTATTATTATAAGCTGAATCCGTCTCTGAGTTATTTTGATTGGTGGAAAATGCCTGACTCTGATTGGCTAGAGATTGATCCCTGTCGGAGCTATCAACCAATGGGAGAACTCCTTTTATGCCGCCATAATTAGCCTGAGAATATAACAACATTTAAATAATTTAAATAATAATGAGAATGGTAACGAGAATTGAAATGCCTAATGACGATTTCACTGATAAATTTTATGATCGTAAAAATGCTTGGGCATGCATATGACCAATGAATGAATGAATGAATGAATGAATGAAGGAACGAACATACGAATGAATGAATAAATAAAATAATTCAATCAATCGACCAAAAAACGTACCTTATCCATCCATAGCAATATCTGCCAACACTGTCTGTACGAGATCTCGACTATTTGAAACAAATCCTTATTCCTAATGACGCTGGTGATGTAATCCACGTAGGACAGTGCGTCGGTAATTTCGCGCTTCTTCGTGCAGACGATAAGTCGAGTCGCGTCGGCGAAAATGACGCCCGAACCGAGCCGGTTGAATTCGGCCATCAGCTGTTTGCCGGTTGGTTGATTGTGGTTGATTGGTTAGTTGGTGTTTGAGTCGACATGGTAATAGTAGTTTCGATCGATTGATTGATTGACGGTTGGATGATTGACAGACGTTTGTTTGATTGATTGATTGTATATTTTATGACCACCACAAACAAACAAAAGAACCTGAGCAAATAATTTCTCCATTAAATTGAGAAGAGATTTTCCAAGAGCCGGATCGTAGAGGAGTGATGTTGGAGACCTCAGCCATCTGGAAAATATGGGGAATCAATCTCACAATCAATCAACCAGCCAACAAACCAACTAATCAATCAAATTCCAACCAACCAATCAATCAACCTCCAATCAGCCAACGAACCTGTAGAAATGAACAATTTGTTGATCGGCGTATACATTCTGATTCGTGGCGACCTCTTGGATCCAACCATGCACCATATTTTTAAGAATTCTAATCATAATAATTATAATTAATATAATAATAATTAGTATAATAATAATAATCAATATAATAATAATTAATATAATAATAATTAATATTATAACAACATATATATCCCATCAAACGAACCTAAAAGCTGTAAAACAAAGCGCCGTATCGTCGTAACTAGCTAACGCTAACGATGACGACAGCGTAGCTGCTGCAGCTGATGACGTCACGGCTGATGCAGCTGATGACGTCACGGCTGCTGTCAATGATGATTGCACCAGGTCTTCAATGGAAGTTTGAGAGATGAGTGCTTCAAATGAAGAGAGGGCAGAAGTTCCTTCGTTGTCCAAGATCTTGTTTGACTGTTGTACACACGTGCGTACGACATACATACACACACACATACGTACACACGTACATACACACATACATACATACACACACACGTACGTACACAAACATACAAAATTAACCTGAATCAAAGCATTGACGGCCAATGAAACAATATCCAATTCAACACAGATCGTGGAGTAGCAACCTGAGTGATTGTAAGAACAAAAAAAACAAATTAATAAATAATAATTACAACAATAACAGAAATAATAATAATTATTATTATAATTAATTAATTAATTAATAGTGATTAACATATAAATTAACTACCTGGATGATTGACAGTTAGACGATCGAAGCCATTGACATCTGATCCAAGAATTAATCTGAGAATAAATAAATCAATGAACCAACCAACCAATCAATCGACCAACCAACTCCCCATCCAACTATCTGACCAATCAAAAACCTGCACACATTCAGCCAATCAAAAACTTGCAGCCGTCCAGCCAGTCGAAAACTTGCAGCAATCCAACCAATCAGAAACCTGCAATCGTCCGCTTCCTTCCCGCCTAAATCCGGCCTATCAGTCATGGAACACCAAAGAATGTGATTATGTTTCAGTAGATGGCGCGCGTAAAATAGATCGCATCCAAATTGAGTTACATCCCTATTTAAATTCCCAAGAGGTACGTGAAGGTACCTACACTGTTCTAAAGTGGCCTGTTGATGATGTTGGTGATGTCATTCGTCCATCTATTCATCCATTCATCCAATCAATCAATCAATCAATCAATCAATCAATCAAAAAAAAACCAACATTTAAAATGGCGTCCGAGTTGAGAAAACTGTTTATCATATGCTTGGATCCCGCCCTCTGCCAGTCTAATACACCATACATGTTCTCCCTGGTCATGATTTAGTGAGATGATGATGTGAACAAAAAAGGGAGAGAAAGAGAGAAAGAGAGAGAGAGAGAGAGAGAGAGAAAGAGAGAGAGAGAGAGAATAACTCACTCTTCGGGAACCAAGAGGGAAACCAGTGGAAAATCATTGAGTATGCTTACAGAAGACGTCAGGTATTTTTGTTCTGTTGTTTTAATTTTTTATTTATTTCGATCATTCATTCATTCGTTCGTTCATTCATTCGTTCATTCATTCACCTTTTTATTCATTCATTTAATCATTTTTCTAAAAGATTATTAAAATAATTATTATTAATCGATTAATCATTCAATCAGCAGGACCGTTCATGAATGAATGAATGAATGAATCAATCAATCAATCAACCAACCTCTATTTGATTGGATAGCTATATAGGTTGGTCCTTTCTTTTCATCCTTATACGAGGTCAATAACCTCTGCAATGACCTGAAATTGGGCCAAATGAACGAACGAACGAATGAATGAGTAAAGGGAATGAATGAATGAACAAATAAAGGAATGGACGGATGAATGAAAGAATATATGAACGAAAGAAAAATAAACAACCTATAAACTTTTTTGACGTCAGTCTCAACGCGGATGTCAAACGTGTAGCCAGCTCCAGGCACGTTATTATTATTGTTATTATTATTGTTGTTATTATTATTATTGTTATTATTTTTTTCTTGGAGTCTAGAGATAATAAAAGTAGAAATTTTTGTTTTTTACAATGAAATGATTAATTGATGGAGTGAATGAATGATTGATTGATAAATTAACTGAATGATTAGCCGATTAATTTATTGATTGATTAATTGATTGATTAATTGATTGATTTACTGATTGATCGATCGATTGATTGATATAATAAGATAACGATCAATCAACCGACTTATTATTCCTCTCTGAATTGTACATATTATTCAAGTTAGGCATCTGATTGGTGCGGACGGTATCAGTGACAAAGACAGAAACCTTCTTTGAGCTAGGAATGAAGAGTGCCAACATCTGCTTACTGCCTCTGTGTTGTGTAGTTTTGGAGTAGGAATTTTTTCGAATAAAGCAACCAGTAGCGACAAACGCCACCAGCAACGACGACAAACGCCACCAGCAGCGACGACAAACGCCACCATCAGTAACGACAACAGCAACAAGAGACTAACGACATATGATGGTACAGATAGAGATGCTTGAGGTTTGAATCATCCTCTAGATATGGATACTGCGCTAAACTTCTGAAGAACAAGTCGTCCAATTCAAACGTGTCTGTCTCCTGTCAATCAATCAATCAATCAATCAATCAATCAATCAATCAATCAATCAATCAATCAATCAATCAACCAATCAAACGACCAACAGAACACGTACAACCTTATTTTTCATCTGACAAACAAATTCTCGACTGACGGTACAGACGCAGCCCAACTTGACCAGGGCCCTGAACATGAGAGGCACCTGGGTCTCATACACCCCCTCAACATCCGGGGAGCTTAGATCGGCATTTATTTCACTGACGGGTTTTTAATTTTTTTTTTACAAGATAAAAATATTTCCATTAGGTATGATGATTCAATATTTGTGTGTGTGTGTGTAGTTGTGTGTGTGTGTGTGTGCAGTTATGTGTGTGGTGTTAGAAGCAAAAGAGATAACGCCAACTTGATGTGTTCCAGGTACATGTGTTCAGGTACGCTGTATTCGTACAGATGGAAAACAGGGTGTGAACGAGGTAGAAGCCGGTTCACTCGCTTCCACACTGTCCAAAGATGGTGAATTGTCATACGATGTAATTATCAAATAGTGAATTGTGAATTATAATATAATAAGATGTCACTGTATTAAAATATAACAAACATCCTGATCGAATGAAATGGATGAACAAATGATGTGTAACAAACAAAAAAATTTTTCATAACTTTAAAATGAATGATTTTGATTGGTTCGTCCAAACTTACTTGACCCCTCTCCTTCTACTTTTGAAGTTCTCTGATTGACATAAAATATTCTCGGTACTATCAGTTTAAACGAATGCAAATCTCCGCCAATCAGAGCCCAGATCTTAAAAATTCCTAAAAAAATTATTTCAAATAAAATATGAAAAATAATAATTATTATAAAACAACATCAACGAAATACCTGATTGGTCGGTTTCAGCCAGCTGTATAATCTGCCACGGCCAATCATAGACGTTACGGGCAGTCTTCTTTAAAAATCCACCAATGGTAGACGTCGTTTGCCTGATGACTCCACCCACACCAGTACCAAGTAGGCTACCGTCATCGTAGCGAGCTCTTTTCAAGCGATGCTTCTTCTGCTTGATCTGGAAGGCCCACTTCTTCTTCTGGTACTCCAGCCAGGTTTGCAACTCCGCCTGTTAACAGAGGGAAAAACGCGGGGATTATTTTTCTCCGGTTTAGACATTGATATTACTTTTGAAATACCAAATTTTGTCTTTAACAATTTCAAATAAATCAAAAAACAAAAAAGAATTAAATCTGTAAATAATGAAGCAAATCTATTTCCAGGCAATGCCAAGCAAACTAAATTTTTTTTGAATGGAATTGAAAAAATGTTTTATTCAACAAAATATCACAATAATAAATTACTAGGAGACCAGAAGTTTTCACTTGTTAGGCCACCTTGTGAGAAAAGAAAAGTTTAGTAACAAACTTCGGATTTCCCCATGGGTGGAGGGTTTCCCAGGGCTTCCCGCCAACTTAACGTCAGATCTTCTGCTTCCCTCTTCCTAGATACCACAGTAGCCACCGGCACAATGCTGCTGCTGCTGCCTTGATGTGACGACGACGACGACATGAGATCTTCAATATCGTCAGATTTGTTCTGGAATGAAGTGAGTTTGTATTGCTATTTTGATTGTCGCTATATGTTATTATTATAACTATTGTTGTTGTTGCTGTTATTGTTGTTGTTTAGTTGTCTAATCTTATCTTGCAGAAGCCGAGCTGGAAGGCAGGCAGCCCAAACAATTTTATTTAACGATCTTTGAATGAAATTTTTAAAAACAATACAATTTGTGTCGCTACTCATTATTATTATTATTATTATTATTATTATTATTATTATTATTCCTATTATTCTTACCTTGACAACAAACATCTCGTTGATTCTCTTTTGTTTAAATATATCTGTCTTCTCCAGCAGTTTCTTGTGCAGCCAATCAGGATGAGCAATTCGCGGCACTGGATTGTGTACCTGATTTGTGAATGGTTGTTAGAGAGAGAAAAAGGTTTCATTTCGTAATTTTTGAATAACAATATTATGAATGAATATATGTGTGTGGGTCTTTGTATGAAGAAAGATTCGGCAGCAGTGGATCAACTAACCCCTTGCAAGGCTGCTGGTATGGTGATAATTTTCTGAATGGCACTGCCCAATCTTTCTATGTAGTACTCCCAGTCTAAGATCTAAATTAAACAAAAAATTCTAAAAAAAAAAATCTACATCAACCCCAGTCCAGCCAACCAGACATTCTATCCAATCACATTCTACCTAACTAAACAACCAACCAACCACAATCCATTTAATTAAACAACCAGCCAATCATATTCCCCCTAACTAAACAACCAGCCAAGCATTTTTCGCCTAATTAAACAATCACAATCCACCTAACTAAACAACCGGCCAATCGTATTCACACCAACCTCTCTGATATCGAAATCAGACATGGCTTGATTTTTGAGCCACTTTTTAAGGTAGTGCCTTTTCACGCTGACCTCCGCCTGAAAAATGGCCAAGGGCACGGCCCTTTCTGTCACGGGAGCACCTTCTGGTTTTTTGGAGATTATGTAGCGACATGCTAGGCCCGCGTCTTTTACCATCTGGTCGCCCAAAAACTGTCACGTGGTGTGTATTGTTAGTAGGGTCTATAATGACAATAATAACAGCAGTAGTAGCTGTGGTATTTGGTAAGCTAGCAGCAGCAGCACTAGTAGTAGTAGCAGCAACAGCCGTAGTAGTAATAGATGAAATTATCAAAGATTATTCTTAAATGTTATCATCGTGATATAAATAATATCAATTAAAAAAATCATGTAAACTTACCTCAGCCAGTCTCTTAGCAGTGCTGATGGAGGTGGACTTCTGCACGCCATAGTCCTCCAGCTTCCGTGACATGCTTCTGTTCTCAGAAATCAGGTCAAATAACTCAGAATCTGGCATGTTGGCAGCCTATGAATGAAGAAATCGAACACGCAACTATGAATTGTAATGTTGAAACAAAAAATAAAATACAGATGATAATATTATTTATCTATGTGTATCGTTACTCTGGGTTGGCAATGTAAATTGTAAATGTAACTCGAAAGGTTCCAAAACGGACCTTGCTGTAGAGTACATCAAGCCAATAATCCGCAACTTTTGCAACGTTGGCGTAACATTGTTCTAGCGTCGTCCCCTTCAAGAAGGCTTCGAATACTGATGACTGGAAAATTTTTATAAGGTGCAGTTCGCCTCGCCTTTTCACTTCAAATCCCTGAAATCAAATGAATGAATGAATAATGAATGAATGAATGAATGTGCGAATAAATGAATGAATGTACGAACAAACGAATGAATGACTGGATGAATAAATAAAATTCAGATTAAAGTACTTGGCAGAATTATAGAATGATTTAGTTTTATAATTAATAAAATTCAATTAAGCAATCGTACGTGCGGATGCATGCAATTAATTAAATTTTCAAAACTTCACAAAGATCTGACTTTAAGTTCGGCCAGTGAGCCATCGAAATTGAACACAGCGTATCTCTTCTTTAACTTTTTACCTTTCATCCAAATCAAACAAACAATAAAAAACCTTCAACATAGAAACAAAAAAAAAACACTTCAAAAACATCATCTGAATCAACTAAGAAACAAAATCGTTATTTTTTATATATGAAACGGCACGATAGCATAGCGGTTAAGTTGCCTGGCATTACTACTGCAGTGACCTGGATCGAATGCGTCTATAGCTGGCCAGTTATTCCCCTAATGTTAACCTTCTTCCTTAGACGCAGGCAGGACCATGGCCTTATAAGGTCCATCCACTTCGAAAAAAATTGAGTTTTCGCTTCTAACTTCATACCGCAGGCGCTCCTTATCCACTAATTCATGGTACTGGCTGTTGGTGAAGTGTTCCTAATTGGAGAAAAATGGTGGATGATTTTTTTGAAAATTTTACAGCAAGTTTTATATTAATTATAAAAAAAATTATAAAACATCAATCTCGTCCAACCTTAACCATAACGTTAAGCATAGCTCCAGGGTATGATATAGTTATCTTGGATTTTTTAGGATCTTTTGTTTTTATGACGTAATTTTCTGGGAAAGTGGCGGGAAGTATACACCATATTCCATCCGTATCCAATTCCAGAGGGCGCCTGAAATAATTATAATAATTACTATTATGGTAATTATAATACTTTACTACTAATAATAATAACAAGTACCATTAACATTACGATTGCAATTCAAATAAAAACATTAGAGATAAATAGTAGGTAAAACCTCATAACGCTACCCGCCTAAACTAACCCAATTTGCTCGACAATTTCGCGCGCTTTTGTAATTATGTTGGCCCCAGTGTGGCAGACGACTCCAGCCATCTCCATGCTATACCACCTAGCGCTGCGTGTTTATTATCATTATCATTATCATTATAATCATCGTGTCGTCATCATCGTTGTCGTCATCACCATCACTTTCAACAACTTACCCCTTCCTCATCACGTAGCCGTAGAAACTGTTTAGGATGCACTTGTGGGCTAACTGTAGTGAATCGTACAAGACAAGCAGAGCATTTGCTCTCTTCAGCTCACTGGCATCACCTTTTTTCTCAGCTTCTACAACTTTGTTTTTCCAGACCTAAGTTTTTTTTGTATGAGTTTTTCTCTCTATTCACAATCATTCTTACTGCGAACGTCATCAAAAATGCCTTCCTCAACCTTAGTAAGTCCTTTGAATTCGTATCTTCTATCCCTGAAGGCACGTACGGTATCCACGTAAAAGGAGTTCTCCCTCTGACAAATCATCGTTTCTTTCGTCTCCTCACGAGTCGTATGCAATTTCTTGTAGGCCTTACGACAGTAATCTAACGAATGGATGGATGAAAACAAGGATGATAAGTAGATGAACGGATGGATATATGGATAAGTAGATGGATAGATGAGTGAATGGATGGATGGATGGATGGATGGATAACTGAGTGACTAAATGGATAGATGAATAACAAACCGGCCAATCTTCTTTTCTCGATAGATGCCTGCTCTTCGGGAGGGAGCTGATGGAAGGCCCTGCTAGGCCCTCCGGGTGTCAAAGGGGGAAACCTTTCATTCTCAAGTTGTTGTTGAATTCTTGAGTACTCGCTCCTCGAAGCTGGCACTGTTTACGGTTGTACGGTTGGCCAGTCAATTAAGCGTTTGTGCATTCATTAAACAGTTTATTCATTCTTTCATTCATTTATTTACTCATTCAGTCATTCACACACAAACACTCATTCATTCATTTATTAATACCATCCACCAATCCACTAACTGAATTCGGTTCTTTTCGTCCAAAACATTTTCTTGAGGCACTTGGCATCCACTTTGTTGAAGTCACAGGCTGCACACGAAGCCTCGTCTATAATGGCTGGGGGCTTAATTAATTAATTAATTAATAACTAATTGATTAATTTCCTATAATAAAAATTTATTCAATTATCAGTTCTGATATACACATGCTTATTAAGGCGTTGTAAATTTTTACATTTACGTCACGCACACACACGCACACGCACCTGAAGACGATTAGTAAGTATGATGTTGGGATACATGGCGGCCACATCCAAATGGTATATGATGGGGTTCTCAGAACGAATGGATGAATCTCGAAGTACGGCTAACTTTCTCTTGATGTCAGTCTTTACCTAATTTGTTAGGAAAATTAGGCAGGCGTAGAAATAACATAACTCCTAAGTTACCTAAGTACGATTGAATGATTACATAGTAGGGGAAAAAAATGACAAATGATAATTCATGATCAACGATGGCAGTGATAAAATAAAGGGATTTTATGAAATATTAAGTTCTTTGGTTACCTCGTCAAAGTTAATGACGTCATCAACGTTCACCTGTTCTTCGTTGACAATGGTGTGAATTAAAGTGTCCTCCACTGAATCAATCAATGTCTGAAATGCCTCTGGAACCTTTCAATCAATCAATCAATCAATCAATCAATCAATCAATCAACCAATCAGTCGGTCAATCAGTCGGTCAATCAGTTACAACCAATTAACCAACCGACTGACCAACTAACCAGCCAATCAAATCAATCAACCAACCAACCAACCAGCCAATCAAATCAATCAATCAACCCATCAACCAATCAATCGACAAACAGTAGACCAACCATCCTGAATTTGCATGGTAGATCGGACCTGAAGACACCAGACTCCAGAGCTTCTACGTGACCGCCTACATAAGTTTCTGAATCCAAGAGATGACCATCATCCGTCAGTCTAATTGGTTGGTCAGTTGATTGATTGATTACGTGATTGGTTAGTTAAAAGATTGATTGATTGTTTGATGAATGGAATAAAAAATGAATGAAAAAACTTGTTGAAAGGCGTCTCTTGTTTGTTAGGAAATATGATGTTGCCATGGAAAGCCTCGACCATCAGTAAGGATTCACACAATGTACCTGACCCCTTACGCAGTACCTGCTCAAAAACACAGACAGACAGACATAAACACAGACATACACACAGACATACACACAAACATACACACAGACATACACACAGACATACACTCAGACGTTAACATAGTCAGACACAAATAGACATAAACAAAGACAGACAGACAGAGACGTAAACGCAGATAGACAGACAGACAGACAGACCTCATCAGGTTCGAGTGGGATGATTGTACAGAGAGCAAATATGAACGGATGTACGTATTTCATGTAGAGGTAATATGTCGCCACTGCATCTGATACTGAATAATTCGCCATAACCTGTAGACGATGACAACTACACAAATGAATAAACAGACTTAAACATAGACAGACACAAACACAGACAGACAGATACAAACACAGTCAGACGGACGCAAACGCAGAGAGACAGATCTCATCAGAACGAATGAACGAACGATGCAAGAATGAAGAGATGAATGAATAAATGAAATGAATGAATAAAGGAATGAATGAATGAATCCCGGAGAAAACCTGTGGTTGTTCAGCAGCCAGTCTGCACATATCTTCTGGATCGATCTCTACCGGATCGTACCTCAACTTTGCTTTGGCCACAGCTTTCAAATTCTGACTTCCAACTGGGAGATAGCTGTCCCTCTTAACCCACCTGCATACATTAAATATTCATTAGGTCGTTCTTTCATTCATTTATTCATCCATTCATTCATTCATCAGTCAATCCATTAATTCAACATCTCATTCCACTATTTCTTTCTCTATCCATCCATCCATCATTTCATTTCTCTCTCCACCCATCTATCCATCCATCCTCACATGAAACAATCCATATGTATGCAAGCCCTGCTGAGATATCCGGATTGGGTTTCCTTCTGAAATCCCAACTCCCTATAAAGGTCAAGGTTGTTTGCAACGCACCTGGCCTCAATGAATGGCCTAGATAGAATTGGAGCAAAGTTTTGATAATGATGATAACGATGATGATGACGATGATGATGACGATGATGATGATAACGATGATGAAAACGATGATGATGACGATAATGATGACGGAAGTAATGGTAATGATGATTTTTTTTAAATTAACCCCCACCCCCTACTGACCAATCAAAAAAGTCGCCGTTGTAAGTAACGAAGATATTTGGCTTCAGATCGAGTATGTGGTCCAGGAACCGCTGCAGAGCTGATGCCTAAGTAAGTTCATAAACGAACGAACTCATCTCAATGAATGAATGTGTGAATATGTAAATGGATGAATGAATGAATTAATTAATTAATGAATGAATGAATGAATTAATTAATTAATGAATAAATTAACCAGCCAATCAATCAATCGTTTGAATCATTCAATCAACCAAAAACTTTCTTTTACAATGCATAACTAAAATATAAGCTCATCAACATTAACATACATAATAATAAAAATAATAATAAAATAATAATAAATTATCCATCATACTTCATTTGGCTCATTGTAGACAATGAAAGGTCCTTCAAACTCGGGCTTTGGCGTGTATTCAAAGTCCTCCACATCTTCTGACACTATATCTCGATTGCATATCAGATAACCCTAAGAAGAGATAAATAATAATAATAATAAAAACCACAACAACAACAATAATAATAATTAATGCTATTAATAAATAATTTGATCAAAACCAATAAATTGAATAAATTATTCTAATGACCTACCTGCCCGTCAACCATGTATGAGATCATGAAAATTTGATCAACTTGTGAATCAGGGAATTTCAATGGCAGCTTTGTGGTTTCAATGTCAAACGCTAGCACTATTGGATCCTATGGACGGGAGAAATTACGAATAAATTATGTTAATTTAGGTCATTGACAAACCTATTATGTTAATTTATGGGACAGTGCGAATATGCAAACGTACAGGGACATCGACAAGGTCCTCCATAATTTTAATGATGGGCATTTCCTGATTGGCTGATGAGATGCTGTACCATCGACCAACCATTAGCTTCAGATCTATGGATACCCGAACGTGATAGGGTATGTCATGCTCCCTTGGTTAATCAACAAAAAACGATCGAATATAATTAGCAGAGCCAAAGAAATTGGTTGAATGTGATAGGTTGGAATTAGAGAAATGGTAGATGATGATTGGTTGATCGAAAAAGAATTATTAAATCTGATTTGTTGGCTGTATTAGATATAGTTTCAATTGGCTAAGTGCATTCTAAATGCATTCGAGTAATAATGCATACTTCTTCAAAAGATAATGTTCAAGTGATTAATTGACATTTTAATAGATGAATTGATAAATTTGAATAAAGATTTATAGACATTATAATTGATTATTGAAAAAGATAATCGAAAATAAACAATAAAACGGAGATTTTCAATAGAACAAAAGCCAACCTTATATCAATAATGTTTTCCATGTGGTCTGTTAGCTTGTTAGAACTGTACATGTTCATTTGTGAGAAGAAAAAAAAAGGAGTGATCATTTCATGCTCAAGTTATGTGGTGATGCTTTTTAAAATAATGTATGAAGCAAACAAATTAAACATTAAAACAAGTTGAAATAATAAAATCGAAATGAAATATTAATTAAATTAATTAAGTTTTTACCACAAAATAATAAATAAAAACTAAATAGACAAACACACGCACAAACAAACAAACAAACAAACAAACACACACACACAAACAAACAAACACACATAGACAGACAGATAAACAAACATAGACAGACACACACACGCGCACACACACAAACACACACAAACAAACAAACAAGCAAACAAACAGAAAGAAAAACTAACTCCAAACTATTGGAATCATATTGGTTACTTCCACAACTTGCCCTGTTTCTTCTCACAAAAGGCTTAATATCTTTTTTAACTTTGATTAAGGCCTCGACAGTTGAGAATGACAACTTAAGGAACTTTCTTTTAAGGCCAACCAGATGATTTGGCTGTGGTAGAGGGAGTTGGTGTGGGCGGTTTTGGAAAAAATGAATGAACATGATTGGTTGGCTGTAGTAGTGGTTGTATTATTTGACGATGATTGGTTGGCTATAGTAGTGGTTGTATTATTTGACGATGATTGGTTGGCTGTAGTAGTGGTTGTATTATTTGACGATGATTGGTTGGCTGTAGTAGTGGTTGTATTATTTGATGATTTTGTAATGGTAATGGTTGGTGTTAGCAGTAGCTAGAGTTAAAAACAAGTTTGAATAAGATTGGTGGGTGGGTGTGTCTTGGCAATAAAGAACACTTGAAAATGATCAAATATGATTGGTTGGTCAGTATTAATTAGTGGTAGATTTAACAGATTAACTGAATGGTTCATTGATTGATTGATTGATTGACAAAGTAATAAAAGAAGCAACCCACCAGATCTAAGTCTTCTTTTACAACGATTTCAACACTCTGGACTCGACCAACAAATTTTTTCGTCAGGTACATCATGACATCTCGCTCGCAATCTTTCTTCGTCATGATATAAAAGTATGGCTGACACGGTAAGGAAACCTTCATTGGATGGAATATTCATTAGTCTATTAATTTTTAATTAGTTAATTAACTAATTAATTAATCATAAATAGTATATGAGCATAGCTAATTATTATTCAGAAATATGAAGTGAGCTTGGCTAATTAATATTCATGAGTAGACAAACTTGCCTTGAACCTATTGCCATCCTCTTGAATGAAGTAGTAGTCGACTGCACTGATCAATCTTTTGTCTCTATCCAATATGTCCGCCTGAGGTATAGTTAAAGGAATAAAAATAGAAAGAGAGAGAGAGAGAAAAGAGGGAGAGAGAGAGAGTGAGATAAATTTGAAAAAAATGTTTGATATCATAAAAAAGAGAGAAAGAGAGAGAGAGAGAGAGAGAGAGAGAGAGAGAGAAAGAGAGAGGAAGAGGAAAACATTCAGATAATAAATCAATTGAAAATATTTAAAAAGAAGTTAAACAAATACTGGATGAAAATTGATGAGCCATCCGATCCTCTCAGCTGATTCTTTGTACCTTGTGAAGCCAAACTTGGCATCAACCTCATCATTCAGAACAGACCTCTGATACCTTAATTCTGATGAATCTTCTCTCCTTATTACAATTTTAAGAATTATTATTAATACTATTATTACTCAAAATAATTAATTATAGATTTAATTAATTAACCAATCAATTTATAATTATATTATTATATTTATAAATTTAATAAATATATTTAATAAATTTATTTATTTATAATTTCCTAACTTATCAATTAGTTAACCAGCCAGCCGGTCAACTAATTAAACAACCAACTAATCAATTGTTTATTTATTTTAATGTTAATCATTTACTCAATTACCCAATCAATCAATCAGTCAATGTCAATCCTGTGATGAGATCAAATTTATTTATTTGCAATTTAAAAAAAATCAACCTTTTTGCAGCATCACTCTCTTTCTCCGGTACAAATTTACCAGTATTTTCAACACCTTTTCTAAATGACATTATCAGATCTGTGGTATATATGGTGATGGATGGGGATGACTTCTTCCTTATTTTCCGATAATGATGAGCAGAGCAGAGCAAGAGGTGATGACTGTGGAAAAATTACTTAATTTTAAAATTTAAATATTCAAATTTTAACAATCTAATATTTATTCCTATTAAATAACAAAAAGTGATTAATTGGCCTATTTATTTTCTGATCTAATTTCAAACTCATCAACAAGCAGAAATCGTAAAAACAATTTTTTAAACTTAATTCTTTTAAAATTAAAAACAATTCAAAGAGATGTTTGTTTACATTTGTAAGTAGCGCTAAAAAAACCTCGGATAGAGATGCGGTAACATTATTTCAGCGAAATTCACTTTTAGTCTGTGGGTTTATTACACATGTTGTACATACACACAAACATACAAACATGTACACATATACATACATACATGCATACATACATACTTATATACATACACACGTTCATTGCATACATCAAATCAAATCATTTTTCAAATCATGTGTGTGTAAGTATATATGTATCCAAAAATACACATAAATATATATTTATAGATATATTTGCATATGTATGTATGTGTGAGTCTGTGTATGTGTGTGTGTTTGTGTGTATATGTGCGTACAAAACTTGACGAAACTGTTGACCACTCCTTGCACAAATGAAATTCTTAACAAAAAGAATGAATTTCTTTTCAAATTTTGAAATTTTAATAAGCTCACCTCTTTAGCAACTCAAAAATCAAGCACTGCTGCTACAATCCAGCTCAATTAAAGGATAAATAGCATTGATTAAGCTTCAATTAGTTCGATAATTAACCAAAATATATACCCTATTATTTTCAATGAAAGGTAAAAACTTACAAAAGTAATAAAATAAATCTATATAGTAGAGTACGAAGATTTTTCAGTTTATGGATTTGCAAATCATCGCTAAGAAGATGAAAACTGAAACGAAGGTGCATCCCTACACAGAGGTCAGTATTCTGAACGTGTCATTCATCCACTTAGTCTTTCATTCATTCGTTCAATCACTTGCTTGTTCATTCATTCATTTGCCCATTCGTTCATTCCATTATTTATATTCAATCCTTCACTCCTTCAATAAGATATTTTGCCTGCCGGCACTTGCAAACGAAGTGAAACCAGATGAGTTGTTCCAGCAACATGCAGGTGGTGTGTTGTGATGGACGATGACGACGACGATGATGACGATGGAGATGATTATTATTATTAAAATGATGATGGTGATGATGATTGAAATATGAAATGATGATGATGAAAATATGGTGAGATGATATAAACGCAGTTGTTTTAATTACTGTTAATTAGATTAGACAATTTCCTATGGCATACTCCTCTCTTCTCTCTCCTCTTCTTCTAACTTCTATCTCTAATTCACTCATTACGTCTATCAATCAATCAATCGATCAATCAGTCAATCAAACGATTCTCCAGTTAAGAAGTTGCAGACGATAAATAGCAATGACGTCATAGTGCTGGGTGGTCAAAAAGTTGACGAGACTGTTAAAAGACGAATGTCATTCTTAGAAGATGTACGTTTTTTTTTTTGGCTAATTATAATAATTCGTCCATTCATTCATTCATTCATTCATTCATTCATTCATTCATTCATTCATTCATTCATTCATTCATTCATTCATTCATTCATTCATTCATTCATTCATTCATTCATTCATTCATACATTCATTCATTCATTCATTCATTCATTCATTCATTCATTCATACATTCATTCATTCATTCATCCATTCATTCAAT